CCTCAGTCCCAGTATTTATCCTACAGCACTAACATGGCACAGATGTAAATTCAGGCACACATGTTATTAATTGTGCGTTTGAAATTTACAATTAAGAGATCCTCATTGTCCCACAGTGGGGAAATGTACAATACCACAGCTCAAGTTTCCTCACACTGTTCAGTCAAACGTTTTAAGGGAACGAAGAAGAAATGAGAAAAAGGTTTATTTTAGCACACTAACGTGTCAAAGCAAGCGTCTCACAAGAGCTGGAGAACACAGGACTCTTTCTCAGCAGAGCGCCGTGTGGAAGGCGGCGTGGCGGTCACCGTGCCCAAAGACGGTGAAGAGTGGCACAGCTCAGGTCCAGCAGAAAACACTTCCTCACAAACACACACAGAGAGTCCACATGTGAAGCAGCGGAGTCACCAAAACGTTGGATTGTTCACCCACTGATAGCAACGTGAGCTGGTTTAGACTGATACAAAAACAAAATTTGAATCTGTAATGTACTTTCTATCTCTTCAGATCTTACGGATAATGTGCATTAGAAAAAACAAACACATGCCACTCCCTGCTGCAAGGTGACTGCTGGATCTAGTCTACAACAGCAGGGGAGGGTAGCATGTACATCCATCCACAGACAGAAAGGAACAAAAAACATCAATGCAATCAAATTTATTTTATAAAGCACAATTCATAACAGTGTAACCCACAGTTCTTCACAAGCAATCAAAAACAGTGTACACTGCATACATAGGGATCCCATTTCGTTTGTGTCCGCCTTCCAAACGTGAAATCACCCAGTCTTATATTATTTTTTTCCCCCAGTGATTGCTGCAATGACAAAAACCACCACCAGGACACTGGCACTTGTGAGCAGTGCCACCTTGAGCATTAAACACCCAGTCATAAAGCTTCAACGTCTTCTTGGCGCAGGAGGACCTGGTGTCGAGTACAATTAAAACAGACTTTGAGATACAACTCCACAATCAGCCACCAGTATATGAAAAGATAAAATTATTCCACATGTTGTACTTGGCTTTTTATCTATTGCAGTGTTAGGAAACATTGTCGGAAAATCTTCTGCATTTCACCTCTTAACTCCCACCTGAACCGAGCGACGTGTGTTAAAAAAAAAAAAAAAACTTAGTAATAAGGCAACCTCCCCTCCCAGTGATGCTGCAATGACCAAAACAACCACCAGGTGGCACTTGTGAGCAGGGTTACATTGGCGAGTTTCTGCCCCGCACACAATGACAATCTGTCATTGATCCATGCTCCCAGCAGACTCGAACGAACACGAAGTGGAACGTGAAGTTTAATGTAAGTAACTTTTCAATTGTTTTTCATGTGACAGTATATTCATTATTGTCTTTGGGTTGTGTTGCATTGTACACATGTCGTCATTGCGTCACATCAGCGTCGGCTAACATTATATTTTTAGATGCTAGGTATTTTTTCTCCTGCGTCAAAATGGAACTGAGAGATATTCAACTTTTCGTCACATGAAACAAGGCATAGCCTATGCTATGTTATCTAACGCTGGTTTAAAACTCAATTGAATATTAGTTTAGCGTTAATCGGACTAATTTCCATCCGCGGGAAATAAGGCACATGGTGTTTGCTAGCTTAGTTAAACAAGTTAACCATTTGAAAAGAACTAAATAATTTATTTTCTCATTTTCCTTGGAATAACACAAGGCTACGCAATGTAAGCAAATAAGTATAATACAGCTCGGAAACTTGTGTTGAAACAATCGCGTCAAATACTACAGTTCCCATCATGCTTTTGCTTTGTCACGTGTCCTCCTCAAACAACAACAAGCACAGGCATGCCTGTGCTTTATTTAGCAAAGAGTTTGGTCTCGTTTCTCAAACGTAAATCTGGGCTGTGTACAGAGGACTGCGTGCTTCGGTATGTACAAACGACGCTGCGCGTGATTTGATTCATAGCGTAGTTAATGTTGTAGCGTAGCTTCTTCTGAGGCCAGTTTTCATTACTTTCATGACTGTCTTTCTTATATCGCTATGCACTCCACTAAACATGGCTGATACTTAGTTATTATTGCTTAACAAGTAGATACGTCTTTCCGTTTTTTTCGTTTGGAGACTGAAAATATATCCCAAAGCATTTATGTTCCCCCCGTGCAACTAAAATTGTATGAATTATTTGTGAATTTAGACAATTAAATAATAATTATGTGAACATTGTGAAATTAATCACAAGTAATGTAATGTTACAGTATATTTGACAATTTATAAATATTACATTATTTATATATTATACTGTAATGTTAAAGTATATTTTACAATTTTCTTTCAGATTCAGGAGAGAAGTGCTGATATTGACACCAGATCTTATACCCACCACTTCTACTTTGGTAGCTTCAATCAGGTAAAAATGTAACTATACATTTGATTTATAGTTTACTAACTGTATACAACATTGAATCCATATTTTTGTCTTGCAGGGGACCAATAATCAAGACTCAAAGAAGGAGAAAGATTAGAGACAGTAGGCTTTTTAGATGAGATGGCAATGCAAAGTTTGCATTGCCATCTCATCTCAAAAGAGATGGCAATGCAAAGTTGGAGAATCACCACCATTCCTCTTGAGCAGACCTTCATGTTCAATCTGGACAAATACACTCCAAATTTACTTTCTGTGTTTGCGAAGAAGGGTGGTGCTATCGGGGCAAAACTGAAACCTGTTTTGAACAAACAGATACAGGTATGTTTAGTCATAACTTATGCTGAGTACAATACATAATTTGTTCTTTCCCATTGATAAATCCCTGTTTTGGTGCTATTTACAGAACCAAACAATTGAGATGAGACGTGACAATGTGATTCGTGGTTTAATGCTCTACCTCGGTGAAAATGAGGAAGAACTCTTTCTAGATTGCCAGGTACCATTCTTGATATTTTTCTCCCCCATTCTCTCAAAAACTCAGGGTCGTCCTATTCCTCACATATTTAACCTGTTTTGTAAGAGTGAGTGTCAACACTTCAAATACACCAAACGAAATACAGTGGTAATTTAAAGCTCTCACTGTCAGAGTTTGGGAACTCACTGCTCTTTCTTTTATAAACTTGTTTTGATTGTTTTTTTATATTGTGCCACGATGATGAACTCCAATGTAATGTAACACAGCATGTTGACCCATGACAAAAACACACGTCCGTGTTTTGGAATCACCTTATGGCTGTGTCTATGATTATGACCTGTCTTGTGATTATTGATCAATCAAGTATAATGTTTGAAGAGAACAAAGGTAGTCTGAGGCACTCTGTTTTGGTGAAAAAATTAAAAGTCCTTTAATGAATTGGACTGCCTACGCGTTTCGACCAACAGCGGTCTTTGTCAGGGCATAAATTAGATAAATAAAAAGATTTATGGCTATAGAAGTGAGCTATAGCTATAGCTATGTAAGCTATAGAGTGTATTATCAAAGTAATTCTTCCTCTTTACAATTTACCCAGGCGCACTTAGAGGATGTTGGCCGGTGTTCTGCCGAGTTGTAACGCTCTGCCAAAAAGTGACGCTTATGTAATGCTCAGCTGTTAATGATGTAATGCAAACCTGCGCGCATGCGCGTCTCACGGCAGCCGAAACAAACCAAGATGGCGGACAGAAAGTCCGTGAATTGCTTTAAAAGTTATAATACGAACGAAATAAGACACGAATGTCACTTTTAATGCAATTTGAGGCGAGATGTTGATGGTTCCGTGTTGGCACATGTGGGTTTTAAGAGTCAAACTTTCGGGTAAAGTTTAGTTTAAGCAGTCAACTGCACCTATGAAACCACTATGCTAATGTTATGATAGCAGTCCTGGCAGCTGACGTACGTCCTTTTTTGCGCATGCTCAAATCAGACTTGTTTTCTCTTCTACCCGAAGCTGAAAACACACGTGAGTATGGCTCTCCGTTTTCAAATGGCATATATTTCGATTGTTTTAACGTTCTATCAGCGAAATTCATCCTGTGATTTGATAGGGGCTTAGATACATCGATATGTAGTGAAACAAACGCTGTGTAAACGACTTTTTAGTAAAAGTCGTTTACAGCTGGCGTGTGAGATGGACCAACATGCTATGTAACGCTACCAACAGTGATTCATTTTAAATATATAGTACTTTTTCAGTGAAGTGCATGCATAGGGATATTATTAAGTTTGACCCATAAGTTTGACCGCGTTTTCCTTGAAGCAACCGAGCGCGTTGATTTTGGACTTAATGGTGCAAGCACTTAATGGTGCAAGCACTTAATGGTGCAAGCACTGACCTCACGGACGCTACTAAATTCTATACAATATGAAATTACTTATTCAACTTTGTACCAACTCCTGGGTTCGAAATTAGATTTTGGGGAAAATGTTACGTACACGCGTAATGCATGAATGAATACGTGGTCATAATCCCTCCAGAAATGTATTAAGTTTCTCATATTTGCTCGTGGAAAGATAGTAACATTATGTACTAGTAGAAAAGAGAAATTACTTTTCATTTATGTGTGTGGGTTCTCATGCATGTAGCCTCATTATTAATAATTTTACATATGGTCTTATCTCTTGATTTCTAATGGTGAAAGTAATTTAATACCAATACAAAGTCAGAGATTTCCATAATTTAAATATGATAATTTTGTGTGGGTTTTTTTCAAACAGTATTTGACGTTATTACTTGGTAGTCATTTAACAACGTCTTCCCTTTTTCTCCCCAGACCCATCCTTGAGCCTTTATCTTTCGATATCTAATGGTGAAAGGAATTCAATACTTATACAAATTCAGAGATTTCCATCATTTTTCAAGTAAGATATTTTAGTGTGGGTTTTGATCTGTTTTTGATGTTATTATTTGGTAGTCATGTAACAACGTTTTCTCTTTCTCTCCCCAGACCCATCCTTGCACTTTTTGTTCACTTCCTCATTTACATCTACTTTTGATTAATAATCAAAATGGAGCATAAATGGGATGAAATGTTTCTCCTCCTCACAGAGAACATTTATCCTGAGGGAATGAATAAATTTCAAAGAGACAACTGGAGGAAGTACTCCCTTAAGTTTACAGTAAAGGGTAATAATGCATTTGCTAGTATGGTTATACATGTCTTATTCTTCTTCTGTTGTTTTCATATAAATTATTTTTTATAGATGGTGAGCTGTTCTATGGCAAAAGAAGAGCCATTAAAACCAGACATGAGGCGCAGAAACTATTTCAAGAGTTTCATGCTACGCCCATGGGAGGCCACACTGGGATGAAAAAAACCCGACATGCCATTTGTTCCAGGTTTTACTGGCGTGGCATGACTGTGATGATTGACAATTGGGTATGTGATATTATTTGTCTGTACAATTCCCTTCCCTAAAGCCTGTTCGTTTTAAGATTGCTGAGTGTGACCAATGTCAACGTGAGGGAAAGACTCTGGGTACAGTTGCACCACTCCAAACAATAAAGGTAATTGTATTGTTACTATTCAACCACCAATGTACATTTATGCATTACAATCCTGTTGGCATGTTAGGTGTCTGCTGTTTGGGAGCTGCTGGGGATTGACCTAACTGGGCCCTTCCCCAAAACTACTGATGGCTATCAGTACATATTTACAGCCACTGATTATTTTTCAAAGTGGGTAGAGGCTTTCCCATTGAAAACCAAGACGGCTGCGGAGGTTGGGCAAAGACTTTGCTCTATAATATACAGGCATGGGTGCCCGAAACGGATCCTGTCTGATCAAGGGCGGGATTTTGTAAATGAGGTGAATATTGCTTTTTGTAGTTGTTACTTTTTTTTGTTCATACTTTCTTATTCATTTAATTTTCATTGTTTTAGCTCAATGATTCTCTGTGCTCTCTGCTGGGCATTGAGAGAAGCGTCACCGCTGCGTACCACCCACAGACTAATGGGTTGGACGAAAAGACCAACCACAACATCAAGAGGCAAGAAAGATATGTATAATTTAATCATGTGAAGCACACATTAAATATATGACTGATGGCAAACCCTACATGTTTTAATTTCCCCCATTTAAACAATGTTCGGAATGTCTTTCTCAGAGCTTTGATGAAGTTGGTGAATGAGCAGCAGAACAACTGGGACACATTCCTTGATGCCACACTGTTCTCTTTGAGGTCAAAGGTGCACATCTCAACCAAACACACCCCATTCCAGTTGATGTATGGGCGGGAGGCTGTGTTCCCCTCAGAGGTGCCTGTAGATTATCCTGTAAGTTCCATTCGTTCAATTGTTGGGTTACACAGAGGGGGAAGAAGCTGGACAAGGTCATCAGTAAGTTCAGCTCAGTCATGGGCTGTTCCCAGTGCAGCAGGTGGGGGACCATGACTGTCACCCCCTGCAGGACACTCTGCTCTGGAGAGCAGCTTCAGTGAGAGCTATTCATCCTCTATGTGTGAAGAAGAGGTTGCACAGGTCTTTCCTTCCTGCCGCTGTCAGACTGTACTGTGAGAACTGCTGAGCCTGTACATGTCATCTCGTCTGTAAATAAGTAGTAAGTAAATACTGTAACAATCACATTTTCCCACTGTGGGACAAATTATACCTTATTTTATTTAGGAGACAATCATGGCACTTTCTTGACCCACCAATCAAAAACAAGTGGAGGAAAAATCAAGAGGCTTTTGGAGGATTTGAAGAAGGGAAAAATAGCAGATTCACCAGGTAGGGATAGTAATGTCAGTAATATTTGTTACTTTGCATCTAACGTTTTTCCAATGCTTTTAGGACACTGCCAAATGTGACAGCTACACACCAATGGAACTTGAGAGTGAGAAGGCGCTTGACATACAAACAGAACAGGTATGTCTAGTAGTAAATATTACAATTTATTGTATTTTCATTATAAATTAAAACTTTTGTGTTTCCTTAGAGCAATGAGGTAGGGGGAGTTTTTACATGGAAAAAGTCTTGAAGCGGACTATAGTGTCACTGATTGTCACACGCAAGTCAAAACATTTCTCTTGTAACCAAATTCATTGTTTTCTCAGGGTATGCCCCATTGTACAAAGAAGAGCTAAATGAACAACTGATTGCCTAAAGATGTGCAGAAACCCGTCTCCGAGCACCAGACATCACAGCTGAAGCGTTATTCTTTGTAATAATTAAGAATACAAATCCTGTTAACATTGAAACTTTTTTTTGCAGGCTTTTTTGGGCAGGAATGCACTTGAATGAAAATGTCAAACGTGGGCAAGATTCTTCAAAGGGGCAGTCTTTATTCAAAGTTCCAACCCAAAGTACAACAAAGGAAAGCAAACAGCAAAGCCAACACTTGGTAAAGAAATAATACTGTACAAACATTACAGTACAATAACTTAATAATATATTATTACAGAGGCTGACCAGGACAGAAAGCCAACGCACTGGCCTTCAGGATCTGTGAACTCTTCGCGTATCCTGAGCACATCACATGCAGGAATGACCTGGCTCCCAGTCGTCCCGAGCACCAGCTAACCAACTCCACAAATCTGAGACTTCTGTGGAATTGGACACGTATGTTAATTATTGTAATTTGCTGTTTGCGTAGTGTACTGAAATGTTTTGTCCCTTTGTCTGTTTCATGGTGTGACGACGAGACCATTTGCACCTGCAAATGAATTGATTTCTGAAAATGAAGTCTCCACGCTCTTTCAACATTATCAATATATTTATTTGACAGGGACAATGCAGACACAGTCATAAACAAAGCTTGCAGCTGATGTGATGAATGTAGTTTATAGCAGATGCCAATTCACAACTCCTGTCCCTGGTTGGGCCTAACCAATCAAAGTCAATACAATTCCTACATTTCTAAAAATACACTTAGTTTACAGCCTACAGACTTGATTGATCCACACAAAAAAACTACAAACGTGTTTTCTCTTGTATTTAAAGCTTGACATCAATGCGGGAACTTTACATCCTTCAGCAGGAAAATCTACACAAATTCAATTCAATACCACAGCCCATTTTTTATGCACAACCTAACATAAAACCCATGAAAAAACCTTTGATTGGTTCCAATTTAAATGTTACTCACCAGTGTTGTTAATTTCTTTAATAGAAAGGATGCACCCGATCTTTCATCTGGGAAACTAGTCAAAATTCATCAATCCACGAATGAATTACATTTCAAAGGACAACATGGCCATGGCATGTAATCTCTGTGGTTACTGGTGATAATAATCCTGTGGTTGTTGTCATGGATCAGCTGCAGCAGAGTCTTGACAGTAAAAGTTGCACTATATATCCAAATGGCCATATTTTTTTTTTTGCAACTTCGAATTCATCCCATGAAAATTATTAACTGAACTGACAGAAAAGTGTGCAGTCCACAAGCTGTGCTGCTGCAGGTGATCGCTGCATTAAATTAAATTTATTATTTCCATTATCAACATTCATCCAGTTGTAAGCTGTAGAGTTGCCACAGGACGCTTCATCAGCCTACGTCAGCTGCCGAGGACTGCTATCATAACATAAGCATAGTGGTTTCATAGGTGCAGTTGACTGCTTAAACTAAACTTTACCCGAAAGTTTGACTCTTAAACCCACATGTGCCAACACGGAACCATCAACATCTCGCCTCAAATTGCATTAAAAGTGACATTCGTGTCTTATTTCGTTCGTATTATAACTTTTAAAGGAATTCACGGACTTTCTGTCCGCCATCTTGGTTTGTTTCGGCTGCCGTGAGACGCGCATGCGCGCAGGTTTGCATTACATCATTAACAGCTGAGCATTACATAAGCGTCACTTTTTGGCAGAGCGTTACAACTCGGCAGAACACCGGCACAAAATGAAGATCCTGGTCGTTTGTTCTTCCTCTGATGAAGAACCTGTGGATGTCTCTATTGTTCTCGACAGCAAGGAGATTGTGACTGGATGTGGAAATACTGCAAAGGCATGTGCACTGCTAATGGGTCTAATATATTCCCTCAATCTTGCTTATCCTACAACACTACGATACACCTTCGAAGTATTTCAGAAGATTTTCTTACATTTAGATGCATTTAAGCCATCCCCGAAAATACAAACACTGAAAGTCAAGCTACTGTCCAAAACATAAGAGAAGCAATTTTGTTCAGCATAAGAGAAAAGGCCACAGATTTTATATAATTTGATGTTGTTACTTTAGCTTAGACTCTAGCTTAGACTAGAATATGAAAATTAGTCATTAAAACATGGACATGTTAAATTAATTGACTATTCTTGAATCTAGTAACTCCTCATGTAACAGTGTTTTAATTAGGGAAAATGTGAAAGAGCTCGGCCACTTCTAAAATTACCTCGGTCTGGAGCCATTGAGATTTACTGCGAGAGTCTAATGCTACAACATCCTGGTCTTTAGCTGAACAGAGGCTCAAAGACCAGGCAGGTGCATCATCTCATCTAAGCTAATGACATTTAATTATAGAAAATCAATGGCCTATCTCTATACCATTCCCATTGCATCCTTTTTGTGATAATTAAGTTTTCTGTTGTCATGTGTTCTGCTTTTAAGGTCAGCTTTAGTTCATCTTTTAGTTTTCATTGTTGATGTGTGAACTTAAAAGTTTGTCAATAAAACAGGTTGTTAAATGTTGATATTTGCATATTGTTTTTTCTTATTAATTCAATAATAATGTAATTGTTACACACATATAGTACTTAATAAGTATTATTGCAATGATATGAAATATACTGATAAAATATAAATAACATTTATTCAAGTTATCCATTATTGTAAATGATCTGTACACATAATGGTTACTCAGTATATCTATTTCACACATAAATAACCTAAAAAAAATCACATAAACCTTACTTGATTATTTTATGTGATCAAGTAAAAAAAATCACATTTGTTAAGTAAGGTTTACTTACAAATAACATTCAGATTATACTTGATGAAATAAAAAGTTTTACTTGATTTATAGTAGTAATCTTTAATTATATCTTCGTGCAAATACTTACGAGGATTTTTTTAAGTAAATGTTAATCACGATTTTTTTCAGTGTATAACGTAAACTTTTGCATCACGTTGGTGATCTTTCCAAAAAGAGAGAATATCGTTATGGAAAGAGAAACTATTGGTAATATAACGCTGAACGTTATTTGACTCAAACAGCTTGGAACAATTGGATTACAAAATTTGGACATCATTTGGAACAATCTGGATTTCTGAATTTGGACATCATTTGGAACAATCTGGATTTCTGAATTTGGACTGAATTGAATTACTGAATCTGGACACTAAAGCTGAAACGTGCGATTGAAAGACACGTCACAGAAGAATTCATGGCTTGACACAAATGCAGCCTGAAGAAATCAACACGGAGAAGTGGGAGAGACTGTTTTCAAACCAATATCTGAGAACCATTGACTGATGAAGTTTGGTATTTTACTGAAGATTGTTGACAAGTTTTATGAAAGATCTGAAAATGTTTTATGAGTTTTCTGAGTTTTTTGAAGTACCGAGTGAAGTACCGAGTTTAAGTATTGAGTTATGTATGTTTGTTTCTACGTAAATACTGTATGTGTGCTATTTTTGTTGCACAATGCTGTAGAATTGCAAAGAGCATATGCAGTAAATAGGTGAAAGACATACAGTACATACATATATATCTCACTAAATACAGTCACAATGAAAACATGACTAAATCATTTGACTGTTGTTCATAAACACTGGTGTCAGGACACAGACACAGACCGTTTCATTGACATGAAGACTTTCTTTTGAGGAATTAAGTTCATTTTGAGGAAGTGACTTTTTAGCAAGTTATCCATGAGGTTTTGCCGATTGCACTAATTGTTCTGAGAAATGCACAAACTGATTACAAAATATATACTGTGCATTCTCAGGGGACACACTGCCATGGCATCTCTTCTGCATTGTCCACATGTGTACTGTATCTGTGGACTACTGTAGTACTCTCTTGGAGCTCTCCCTCCCCCGCACGAATAAACAAAGCCCACCCCAGCCCCCTGCTGTTATAAGTCATTACCTAAATTTGCAAATCAATACATGCAAATGTTAGCAGCCAACCTAGCATAGTGTGTATCATCTATGGTATTAAGCAACTTTTGTTAAAGTTAAACTCATCATTCTATCAATGTGCAGAAGCCAGTACTTTTCCCTTGTTTTGTCTATCTGAAGGCCAAGCTACAAGCACAACGTGGAAGCTGCTGATTGGAGGTCTCCATGCCTCCGCTCTGTATAATACACTTGCATTCTGTTGTTCGTGTTGTTCGTGCTGTCTCTACCATCGACAATAAAACATGTCTTCTGTCTGAATTTAAGACGCGATCCCAGACTTTGTCATCTTCTTCAGGTGGTGGAGAATGCGGGCATTGTCTGTAACATCTAGAGAACAGAAGACTACTTTTTTTTTACACAAAAATGTGTTTTTTTTTTAAAGCCAAAACTGAGAAACCTCAAGAGAAACCATGCGTCTGGACCAGCACATGGACAATCTGCACAGCCCCTGATTCCAGTCAGGCTGTGAGCTGCTGAGACATGGACAACACCATCGTCCTCTTTTGCATGGACATCATTTGGAACAATTGGATTACACAATTTGGACATAATTTGGACTGAATTGAATTGCTGAATCTGGACACTGAAGCTGAAACGTGTGATTGAAAGACACGTCACAGAAGAATTCATGGCTCGACACAAATGCAGCCTGAAGAAACCAACACAGAGAAGTGGGAGAGACTGTTTTCAAAGCAATATCTGGAACCACATCGACTGATGAAGTTTGGTATTTTACTGAAGATTGTTGACAAGTTTTATGAAAGATCTGAACATGTTTTATGAGTTTTCTGAGTTTTTGAAGTATTCCGAGTTCTGAGTTTTTTGAAGTACCGAGTGAAGTACCGAGTTTGAGTTTTTAAAGTATTGAGTTATGATGTTATGTTGCTGTTTATCGATCCTGATGGTCACAGGTGAATGTGTGACCAGAGGGGGGAATGTGAGATTTCATAACACTTTTAAACAACTTTTGTTAAAGTTAAACTCATCATTCTATCAATGTGCAGAAGCCTGTACTTTTCCCTTGTTTTGTCTATCTGAAGGCCAAGCTACATGGCACCGTGGAAGCTGCTGATTGGAGGTCTCCATGCCTCCGCTCTGTATAATACACTTGCATTTTGTTGTTCGTGCTGTCTCTACCATCGACAATAAAACATGTCTTCTGTCTGAATTTAAGACGCGATCCCAGACTTTGTCATCTTCTTCAGGTGGTGGAGGATGCGGGCCTTGTCTGTAACATCTAGAGAACAGAAGACTACTTTTTGTTTAAAGTCATAATTTCAATATTTTTTATTTTTATACACACATTATTAACTAAACTGTTGCGTTCTAATCTTTTTTTAGGAGGAGGAGAGCGCAGTCAGGCCAGGCTCGCCTCGCACATCTTAACACTAGAACTTGTTGATTAGCATTTGTATAGCTCACAGCATTGTCATTTACATGTTAAAGCCTCCTGTGGAGG